CCGCCGCAGATCTCCGTTTCAGTGGTAAGTCGAGAAGCCCATCCTCGGGTTCTCGCTCAGGTAAATTGGCAATAAACACCCTAGGTAGCCGGGTACTTCCGGTTTGTGTGTTTCTTGGTGTTTTTTACTTGCTTCATCCCTTTCCCCGTTTTGCTCTTGCTGCTGACCGTGTTGGTCTGGCTGTCAGTTGTAACTGACGATTCCTAGGTGCGTTCTCTTTACCTTCGTGTGTGAAGTTGGTCTGCATGAGTGTTTTGTGTTTGCGGGATTGAGGTTTTGAACTTGTATTTCGTGCTTCAGTCTCCCTTGCGTGTTTATCTCTGCTTTACTGCCCTTTTGTGCTTACTTGGTACCCTTGTGAACTGGGATTGTTTGCCTCTGTGACTCGGCACCTGAGGTTAGGACTGGCCGGTTCCCTGCCAGCCACTCTAGTGGCCTTCGGATCTGTGTGGCATGTCAGCCCCCAGCCGGGTACACTGGTGAACCCTAGCTCCTTGGTTCTCTGTCTCTCTGTTTGTTATCTTTCATTTACCTTGTCTTCTGCCACTGATTCTTCAGTGTTATCCTTTTTTGTGTTCACCATTTAGTCTGTTCCTATGTCTGTCAATATGTATGGTATGTTACCTTTTAATAGAAAAAGTGATTTTGACATTTGGAAACAAAAGATCAAATGTGTTTTAATCCAGCAAAAGGTTTTCAGAGTTGTTAGTGAACTTTATTTGGATTCTGATGATAGTGCTAAGAAAGCTGAAATGAATGAAACTACCTGCTCTATATATCTTAACCTATCTAACTCGGTGCTTAGAAAGGTTGGTATTTTAGATTCTGCTAAAAAGTTGTGGGATAAGTTAGATGAGCTTTATACTGATACCTCTTTGCCTGGTAAACTGTTTTTGCTTGAAAAATTCTTTCGGTTTAGGCTAGACCTAACCAAAGACATTGATGAAAACTTAGATATTTTTAATAAGTTGATCCAGAACATTAAACAATCTGGTGATAAACATATTGATGATTATACTGTTGTTGTGTTGCTTAATGCTATTCTTGATTCTTATAATGATGTTAAATCTGCTATTAAATATGGTAGAGATGATGTCACTCTTGATATTGTTGTGAATTGCCTTAAAAGTAAAGAGTTTGACTTTAAACATAATAGGAGTATCTCTAGTCAATCCAAGGATTCGGCTGAGGCTATGTTTGTGAGGGGTAGATCTAAGAGTAGGTCTAAGAATCAGAAACAGGATGCCCAAGCTAAAAATAGTAACCCAAATGGTAAGAAGAGGAATAAGTCTAGAAAACGTGTGTGCTACAACTGTGGCAATTCTAGCCACTTTATAAAGGACTATCCCCATCCTAAGAAACCTGAGCAGGCTAGTGTAGCTATAGAGAGAGATGACCTTGGTGAGGTTCTCATGGTGTGTGACCATGTTAATTCTGTCCGTAATACCTTGACTGAGCATGAATGGTTAATTGATTCTGGTTGTACCTATCATATGACTCCTTTTAGGGATTTGTTTTCTAAATATGAGAAATGTGATATGGGTTATGTTTCCTTGGCTGATAATAAGAGATGCAATGTTTTGGGTGTTGGTGATATATGTCTCGAGTTTTCTTGTGGCTCTTTGTTTACTCTTAAGAATGTGGGCATGTCCCTGATTTGTGTCACAACTTGCTATCTGTTGTTGCCTTGGAGGGTAGTGGATTAGAGGGAAAGTGGGGGAATGGTAGTATGAAAATTTTGAAAAATTCTTTGGTGTTGTTTAAAGCTAAGAAGGTGAACAACCTTTATGTGTGTCATGCTAAACCTTATATTGACTCTGTGAATGTTGTGCATACTGATAAAACCTTGTTGTGGCATAATAGACTAGGGCATATGAGTAATAAAGGTTTAGGGATCATGCATAAACATGGTTACTTTGGTAAAGACTCTGTGAACTCTTTGACTTTCTGTGGATCATGTGTGCTTGGTAAACAACATAGAGTCCAGTTCCCTCTATCCTCTTATCCTAATATGACAAAGTGCTCCTCTGTGCTTGAATATGTGCATGCTGATGTTTGGGGTCCTGCCCGTGTTCCCACACATGGGGGGAAACGGTATTTCTTGTCCTTAATTGATGATTTCTCTAGGAAAGTGTGGGTCTATCTTCTAGAACATAAGTCTGATGTTTGTGAGAAGTTTAAGGCCTGGAAGTTACTTGTAGAAAATCAAACTGGGCAGAATGTTAAGACCCTTAGGACTGATAATGGCCTAGAGTTCTGTAACCAAGAGCTTGACCAACTGTGTGCCACTTCAGGCATTAGGAGACATAAGACTGTGCCCTACACCCCCAACAGAATGGGGTAGCTAAAAGGATGAATAGAACCCTTCTTGACAAGGTTAGAAGTATGTTGTCTACCTCAGATTTACCTAAGAAGTTTTGGGGTGAAGCAGTCACCACTGCCACCTATCTGATTAATAGATCTCCCTCTGTTCCCATAGGGGGTCAATGCCCTGAAGTTAAGTTTACTGGTGGGCCTCTTGACCTAACAAACCTTAGGGTCTTTGGGTGTGCTTCCTATGTTCATCAGAAAACTGATAAGTTAGATCCTAGATCCAAAAAGTGTGTTTTCTTGGGTTATCCTGATGGGGTAAAGGGATATAGGTTGTGGGATAGAAGTGTGCCTGGTTTTAAGGTGGTTATAAGTAGGGATGTAATTTTCAATTAATTTGATTTCCCTTGCTTGCTTAAACCTGTTTCTGAGCATGAACTTGAGAGGACACCTGTTGAGGTGGAGTCTCAGGCCCCTTCTGTACCTACTATTCCTTATGTTATGTATGACACTCCTCCTGTTGTTCCTGTCATCCCTTCTGATGTGCATGTTAATACTTCTGCTGATACTGCTACCTCCAGTGAGGTGGAGTTCAATACTCAAGATGACCATGTGCATAATGATTCTCTGTCTGGTGAAACCAGTGTGTTTGATGATTCTGTTGAGGATGATAATGTTGATTTGCATTACTACCAACTTGTTAGGGATAGGGGTAGAAGAACCATTAAGAGAAAATCTGATACTTTGTCTGATTATGCTTTTATTGCGTGTGATATATCTGATTTTGATTTTACTGTGTTTGAGGCCCTAGACCTAAATGAACCTAAGACCTATAGTGAAGCTATAAGGTCCAGAGAGTCTCAGAGATGGCTTGAGGCCATGAAAAGTGAGATGGACTCTCTAAGAGTGAACCAGACTTGGACCCTTGTTCCTAGACCTAATGTCAGCTCAGTGGTTGAGTGCAAGTGGCTGTTTAAGGTCAAGGAAGAATCGGGTAATAACATTTGGTATAAGGCCAGGTTAGTTGCCAAGGGGTTTACTCAAAAAGAGGGGGTAGATTATGCCGAAATCTTTGCTCATGTAGTTAAGTTTACTACTGTTAGAATCATGTTGGCTTTGGTTGCTCACCATGACTGGGAGATGAAACAAATGGATGTCACCACTGCATTTCTGCATGGTGAATTGGACAAGAAAATTTACATGACTCAACCTGAGGGCTTTGTGGATCCCAAGAGGAGTGACCATGTCTGTCTGCTTAGGAAGGCCTTGTATGGCCTGAAGCAATCCCCTAGGCAGTGGAATATTAGGTTTGACAAGTGTATGCAGTCTATGAAATTTGTTAAATCTGCCTGTGATCACTGTCTTTATTTCAAGAATACTAACTATGTTCCTGTGTTCTTGTTAATCTATGTGGATGACATGTTGATTATTAGCCCTTGTCTTAAATCTATTATATCTGTTCAAAAATGTCTTTGTGAGAACTTTGCTATGAAAGATCTTGGTGATGCCAAGAGGATACTTGGGATTAACATTATTAGGGACAGGAGCAAGCATACTCTTGTTCTAAATCAGATTTCTTATGTTGAGAAGGTTTTGAGTAAGTTTAATATGTCTTCTGCTGGACCTGTGCATGTTCCTCTTGCCTCTCATTTTGTGCTAAGTAAGAATCAGTCTCCTAAGACTACTTCTGAAATCGAGCTTATGAAGTATGTTCCTTACTCTAATGCTATATGTTCTATGATGTATCTGATGGTTAGTTCTAGACCTGATATTGCCTATCTGTGAGTTGTTTGAGTAGGTTTATGTCTAATCCTGGTATGCCTCATTGGAATGCTTTGAAATGGCTTTTGAGATACTTGAAATTTTCTGCAAATCATGGTTTGATTTTTACTAAGTGTACTGAAGGTGTGAAACTGAGTGGTTATGTTGACTCTAACTATGCTTATGATAAAGACAATAGGAAATCTACCACTTCCTATGTGTTCACTTTGTGTGGTTCTTGTATTAGTTGGAAATCTCAGTTACAACCAATTGTTGCCTTATCAACCACTGAAGCTGAGTATGTTGCAGCTACAGAAGCCTTCAAGGAAGCCATCTGGTTAAGACATCTTGTTGCTGAAATAGGTTTTCTTAAACGGGATGTTACTGTGTTTTCTGATAGCCAGTCTCCTATCCAGCTTTGCAAAAACCCTGTTTTTCATGATAGGACCAAACACATTGATGTGAGGTTCCACTTTATTCGTGATGTTTTAGATGCAGGTAAGGTGAAGCTGTGCAAGATACCTTCAGAGTTCAACCCTGCAGATATGAGGACGAAGTGTCTATCTGCTGAAAAACTTGTGTCTTGTAAACGAATTTTAAATTTGGACTGCGGTTAACTCTATTTGCAGGTTTTGGGTATGTTGGAGGGTAGATTCTTGAAAGCGTAGTGCTTGAGAGAATCTGCTCTCACGGTTAAGGAGAGTACTTTGGGTACTTCTCCAATTTCTTTTTGGGAGTATTTTGTGTATCTCCAATTTGTTTGCCAGTTATGTCTTTAGGATATCACTGGTGACCCAGCGATGATGAACCACGTGCTCATGTTACTTTGTGATACCATGCACCACCAATGATGGACAATAAGGTGGAGAGTGTGGAGGTATTGGCCCCACGGGCCAAGGCAGCCCTCTTCACACTTGTTGGGCCTGTTTGCTTGCCTCTTGCCCTGGCCCAGGTTGTTCTGCCGCTAGCCTTGTTTCTGGAACCCTCCTTTAGGGCTTCCCCTCTTGCCCGAATACTTAAGTCCCTCTTCGTCTTTGGTTGACGCAGAGGTCTTCGGTTAGAGAGAGTGTGAGGTTAAGAGAGAATAGAGAGAGACTCCAATCTCTTCTCCTTCCGGTCCCTCTGTGGTCTTCTCTTTGTACTCCCCCTTTTCTGACCTTTGGCGTGCGTTGAGATGGCTGGGCTGGCCTAAGTGTTCTTGTCCCTACCAGTGGTGCTTGGTTGTGTGTGCTGTATGAGTGTGCTCTGAGCTGGAGAGGTGAAAACCTGACAGTTCAATTAATCTTTAAAATTACTGTATCATTTTATACTTCAATACCCAATATTTGGATTCCATTTGAGTACCTTGAGCATGAATCATACTCAGTCATATACTCATATATACCAAAAATGAAACTGATGTTGTGTAGACAGTAAAACTACTAAAACCAGTAAGCATTTTCAGCCCCACCTCAGATGTCAACTAACAATAATTTAGGGAGGTTATTATTATCCTTGATATTTTTTGCTTTGTGTTCCTAGCCATGGTAAAATGGTAACACCATTCGACAATTATTACAAACATGTTGCATGTGTATCATGCCACATCTACTTCTGTTTCTCAAACCTTTTTCGGGAAGTTTAGTCGGACTTGTTTGGTGCACTTCAATGGAGCTAGAGATTCCAAACATTGAGATAACATTAGTTTACAATAAAATATATCACAGTATGGATTCAACACAATGTGAACAGCCAAGTGTATTAACAACCTACCTTTAGATTTGCAGTGATGGTTGGAGTTCACAACCGTAGATTTCCACTTCTCATATTCTTGTTTGTGCATTAGTTTTTTCCTCTTGTAGCAAGACTGAAAACATTGGAGACATAGCACATTCAAGAACTACCATATAGATATAGACATTAACAAAATTGTACTGCATCATCTAGTCAATTGATGCATAAATAGATTTTTAGATGCATTGACCGCAAAATGTTAGAACTGCTATTCCGCCTTGAGCCAATATTAAAACCAATTGATAGAAAAAGGGTTAACACCCAATTTCGTCTCTCAACTATACACTATTACTCAATTGATCCTTGCATGTTGGACATAACTTGATCCTTGATTGCAATTTAATCATGAAGCATATTTAGCTCTAAAATAGACCAACCGAGTTAAATAGAGGAATTTCACCACCACATATTTAAGCTTAATTTAATTTTTGTATTTTGAGGACTAAAGTGGATATAAACTGCATATCTCGGTACTAAATTGGGTCATAAATTAGGTCCAGGTTTTAGTTCATGGCTAAACTGAGTCCCCAACAAGTTAATGGCTAGCGTAAGTATTCGTGTATAATGAAGTGACCGAATCAAGTATAAACTCAAAACTATTGAAGCTATTTTTATAACATGATCCTCATCAGATGAATAGCCACCATCATCTATCCTTCTCTTCTCAGGCAAAGCATCAAGCAGCTCTGCGTGAACAAGGCAAAACATGATAAACTATTGTACTATCTGGCAATCCTTTTGACATTCCATGCATGGAAAAGTGCTTGTTAAGGATTAGACATTACCTCGGTTGCCTTAGATTTCCTTGGCATCTTTCTTTTCCTTTGATATCCCAAAAACATCAAAGCACAAGTCCTTCATGGATGTAGAAACATGCAACAACATTTATTGAATAAGCACACATAATGGTTATGAACTAAACACTAATGCTATCAGAAGTGCAAAAATGCATACACTTGCAAATTCAGAATCTGAAGTACCACAAATCGCAATTAACTTAACCTTGTCCACCTTCAACTAAAAACAAATGGGAAAGTGAAAATTAGACATTTCTACTCATTAATGGCATAATTTTATTCGATATGCAAACAGCAGATTACACTATGCAGTACCTTGTGCTTTTAGGCACTCAAATAAAATGTTACAGCAGTAAAGACAGGCCTAGAGAAATCTGCACTTAGCCTACGCGAAGGCGGCAGTGAAGTAACAAATCGGTCTTTGTATCTGGAACAAACAACATTTCAGTTATTCTCATCCCGCAATATTACAATAACTTGCCTACCATAATAAATTTCCAATCCAAATGCAACTTGGTTGCAAGGAACTTGCTGGAATAACACATAAAAATCACTCAATGGTCATAAGGCTACTTGATATTCAGGTTCAAAACATAAATGTAACTAAACACTTATTAATAATAGACCATGCACAATAAAGTTCATGTTTACTAATCTCGATACACTTGGTCTTTAAGTACTTATAGAACATTATAATGCGATAAGGCTTAGTGGATCCGCTAAAAAATCCTTCAAATTATTAATTAGTCAAATCAGTCACTGCTTCATATTACTAGTATTGGTAATAGTTCCATATTACTATTGGGTTTCTATTATATTCAATATTCCTAGCAACCATATTGTTTTCCTCATAGGTTAGGACTTCATTTCCTTGTTCACCTAAAGTCCAGGGTTCAACTTCATTAATAATATCAGAATTTCAAGCTTAATTTAATAGGATTGACAGAGCTGAATTATCTAGCGCTTCTGTCTAAGACGAGACTAGCCAAAGATTCATTATTTTTTGGCTTGAGATTATGATGGAATAAAGCAAAATGAGTCACTAAACTGTCTGTGCTTCTTTGTTATGAAGCATCAGTAAATCCATGCAATTTTGGACGGGATTTTCACTATGGGTCATCCGGAAACGGTCTCTATGTGCTTTAGTACATGGGTAAGACTGCGTACATCCGACCCCCCTTACCCCACCATAGGTGGGAGCCTTTGCGGCACTGGGGTAAATGAAAAATGTGAAAATGTTCTGTCTAAAACGAGACTCTTAGAGTGAACAAAAAGAATAAGAAGTGTAAAATCAAATTCATCATTTCATAACATTACTTACACTGCTAGACCCTTCTGAACAAAAGGTATCAGCCTAATGCACCCAAACTGAATAGTCAATTCGCGAATATCAAGCTTACTCCTGCACAAAAAGAAACCTTTTATACAACTTAGACAACAATAGCAATAAAACAGAACTCAGAAGAAGAAGAAACGGTTTTCAAGAACTTACTTGACTCCAATGCCATTCTGCAATGAATTGAATGATCTATTGTAAGCCTTTTCTGTCATTCCACTCAATTTGATTGCAGCCTGACGATCAAATATCACACCCATCCTACATTCACAGGCAAAGTTTAAACATTATTACAAACACATGCCGCAGATCAAACATTATCACAAATACATACTACGTAATATGCAACTCAATCATCAATTTGCAGGAAGAAAATCTGACTCGAATCATATACATATCTCTATAGAAAAACAATTCTGTAAGGTTTTAATGCACACACATACCCAAAAGCGGCGATTTCAAGGCAGGTGATCGCTTTGCATACTTCACCCTGTAAAATAAAAAAACAATAATAAGCACAGTTAGAGTCAGGCATGAATGCAATTTGTGTACAATTAAGAGGGGAAGCCACTAATCCTACACATCTTTTACTTACAACGCCGATAACGGATGAATCGAATTGGATATCGGCCTGACGTCGGAGCTCGGCAGCTTTACGGATGAACATCTTGTTCTCAGAGAGGCTGATCTTTTTGGCAAAGAGATCCATTTCCGACTGGACTTGATGAATAGTGACGTATATTGGGGGATTTATATGACGGGTAGGTGCGGCAGTGCAACAGGCCGGCGGGCGGGTGGCTGACCAGCAATCAGGCTGGGCGTTTGGTGGACTGACAGGTTTGGGCAGCCGGGAGAGCACGGTAGCCGGTAGGCGGTGGGAGGCCAGCAGCGTCGTCTTCTGGTTGGTGGAGGCTGGTCTCTGTCTCGCTGAATCAACGGCGCAGTGATGTACAGGCGTACATGTGCAATTGGGTAACAATGGCGCCATGGCGGGAACTTTAAAGCGAGGAGGTTTCCATTTCGCGCACGCAGGAAAATGACCGATCTTTCAAAAGACTCCGCGTGTACTTTCTTTTCCAACTTTGATAAATTGGGCCTCCACCGCTCCACGACCTATGTTATGGGAACTGGATCGGGTGATTCGACCCGAACCTGGCCACCTGCCCCGAAACTGGTCCGGTTGACAATAATGAAAGAAAAGATGCAAAGTTTGCCATAAGCAGAAAGAAATAACAAAGAATGAGAAACTAATGAAATATGTAATATTACGACCCCGTTTGGTGAGCTTTTTTTCGCCTTATCAGGCTTACCAGCCAGCTTTTTCACTAAACACGTAGTTTTTGATTTCGCCCACTGAAGTTTGTAATATGCAGAAAAAGTAAGGTTGGAGTTACTTTTTTTGTTGTTTTGGCTGAAGATTCTGTAGAGGATCATTATAACTATTTTTTCATATAATTTTTATTTAATTTATTGATAACAAATATTTTATATATAATTTTTTCATTAATCACCAGAATCAGCCAATAAAATTACTTTAGCCAAAACTTCATAATTTTCAGTAGAATCAATCAATTCAGCCAATTTTAATGTTACCAAACGAGTTCTACATCTGTTGTATTAACATTAGGATATGGAAAAGTCTCACTATATCAGATTCAATTTTGCTCACTTTATAGTTTATACCAACTATATGTACCCAAAAAAACATATCGTCACCCCTTTCCCTCCCTCTCTCCTACACCCCCCCCCCCCCCCCCCCCCCTCTGTGGCTCTGTTCTCTCTTCTTCTTTCTCTTTCTTCCATCTTCATCTTCATCACATTCGTTTTTTTTTTCCTTCCATTTTCATCATCTTGTGTCACCTTTAATCTCCCCTTCACCATCTCCCACCTTTATCATTTTTTTCTTCATCATTTTTCATTTTCCCCACTCCATCTTTCATTTTTAGATTCGTCGGAGATGGATTGTCGCTGGGAAACCAAATTGGAACTGAACAACCGTCAGAATTATTGTCTACATACTCCGTAATATATAAATATCGTCTGTGACTTTCTAAAAGTTGATAAATTGTGTATGTATGAAGAAATAAAATTGAAAAGTATAACTAAAAGTCACCAGAAACAAATCAGAGATGAAAATTTGTCGAAACTATTGTGTGTCGTCTTATAAAATTGTCTGTGGAGTTGGGCCATCGTCAAAAAATTGTTTGTGTAGACATCAGTTTTGTGCCTTTTTGTAGAGATGACAGTGTGTGGTACAAAAACCGATGTTTGTGTACAGACAACTTTTTGTATGTGTCACGATAGAGGGTCGTATGTTATTTAAATTTAAATTGGAGTATTAGTATTTTAGTTTTTTTTAGTCCAAACTTTGAAATTTTATTATGATTGATAGTTTTTTGTACTATTATTATTATTATTATTATTATTTTGTTTATGAACCTATTGATTATATATATTTTCAAATTATATTTGTGTCCTATAATTTTCACAGTTGCCGCATTGCCGTACTTGTATTCGTCTCCGTGCAACATATAGAATACATTAGAGCATGGTTCGCATAAGGAGCCACAACGTTAGAAGAAGATTTCACAATGTCGTTGTCTCACTCAACCCCACCATCCCAGTCAACAAGCATTAAATTTTCCCTTGTGCATTCCGGTGAGATTATATACCAAATAGGAGTTAATGACAAATATATTATCAAGATTGAGATGATGGACAAAAATGAGATCTATTATACAAATTCAATGTATTAGTAAATTCTAGTAACAATTATTGTGTTTAATCTTACATGACAATTATCATAATGTTTTAATCATGGACTTATAGTACCTTAGTCATATTTCTATCTTTAAATTTACTAAATTTCAATAACATTTTAGGAAGAACCTTCTTAAACATTTATCAAAACCAAAAATAGCTAGGTTCACGTGTTTTTAACTTTCAAAATATGAGTTATAAGTACTAACAGGGTATATTATTCTCGAAGCCCAATCCACATGCTTCCACAGTTCCACCACATTGGAACAAGCCCAATAACCCGCTAAAGCCTAATGGACCGACAATGCCTTGCGACCAACAACCCCTTGGATGAGTCCTCATAGAACTGAGGGCTACAACAACATGCAGACTGGACTACTGATAAACCCGGTCCAAAAGACTGTCCTCTAGGTGACCCCTCGGTCCCTCCTCCTTTAGTCATTAGCGGACACATTTAATGCCCCAACATGTGCCCGGTTATGCCCTACTTCAAAGTTTCACTCTACATATTAACTTACACGTGCATGTGCGTTGAATGCATTTAAGATTTATGACTAGTTAAATAGCTTGTATTGGATAGATGTAACGATCAGACATTACTTAATGCAATTTTTTCTTCTCTCTGAGTTATTAGTTCCGCCTTCTTCATAGATATCGCTAATGGTATCCCCGTGTAGTAGCCAGAGTAGAGAAAGGATAATAAAGTCAAAATTTTCTTCCTTTATAAAAAAACCAGTCTTCAGAACAAACAGGAAAGAAATGAGAATGCAAACTAACCGCGCCCCCCAGACGCACTCGGAGAAGTCGATTGAGACTACGCCCTCATGATCTCATGTCAGCAGGGTGGTCAGGGATGTTGTCGTCCACAAGAGCTGACCATGTCCTCTTGTATAATTCCCTCGGTGCTTGACTCGAGATTGACACTCGTAGGAAGGTTAACGAGATTTGGAATGTGATATCATATAGGGCCTACTTAATTTGGAATGTGAATCCCTCGGCGCCTAGTCCTACCACTCTGCACATAGGGCCTACTTAATTTGGGTAATCTCATCACATGAAACCTGGAATGTGATACAATGAATGTTATTGATGGAGTATATTCCCATATACTTTAGGGGTATCATAATCAACGGATAAGGACTTCAGATGTATCAACATTTAGTACGAAGTTCAAGCCAACGGTGACCTCGACACACGAGGTCAGGTCACAACACAAGTCCACAAATCGACAAAGTATGAAACCACAGCCGAGGCCGACCTCAAACACACCAAGCTCGGTACCAGACCCGACCTCAGATACAAACACGAGTCAACAGATATGAAGAAATGTCCACCACTAGACAAACTGAAAACTAGGACCAGATCCTTTTGGAATGAACTCAATATACGCGAGCTCTGACCTCACGGAGCTCGTGGCCTCAATAACCGAATGTGGACTTAGACATTTCAGCAATCAAGTATTACACAAGCTGCCGCCACATCATCAGCGCTATACAGAGGACACGTCGCTCCAACAGTTAATGATTAGGAATATTCTGGAGGACGCATGTGTAGCACACACGTACGTTCTGGTACAATTCTGTTTCACACAGTACCGATCAATCAGTTGTCCCAGATATATCTCCAATCAACTTTACACGTGTCACCACACCATTAGACTAGTATATTTATTCTGTTAGACAAGTGGGACGCATGTCCTCAACTCTTCACCACAATAGAATATCATCTTTTTACTTGTTGGCCAAATATGTTTTCCATTGGTATAAATATCACCTTCCAGCTTGTGGAAAGAGATCCGAAATTCTCCGTAAGAACTTGTTGTTACTCTGCTCGAATTTCTACCAGATCTTACTTAGCGCTTCCATTCTCTCCTATTTCTCGGATTCTGGCTACCCCCAGGGTCAGTGATCCATCAGTTATATGTCCATGTTTGGTTCGTGGGGTCTAGAAAAAATTGGGAAAGTTACATCTTCATGCATATAATGTGACAGTAATATGTACGGGAATGTTAAACTTATTCATATCTTAGGTTATTTGATATGTTTGGGGATGTCTTAATTTTCTTTTGGAAATACCCTCAATTAATTTTTTGTTTTCATTTAATTTCTTTTCGATCCTTCAAGCTTCAATTCATAGTTTAATTTTTTCTCACCATATTTTTTCTTCATCATATGACAATAGACTTTTAGTGCTACCCTTGTCGCACCTAAAGATTCGATTCCTCTATTCTCTGGTCAATGTAAATTGTTCTTTATTTTTTACTTTATATATCTAACTTTGATCAAATTTGTTTTTTGTGACTTTATAAAACTTTTTGTGTGAAATATGCCCAGATTTCAACCGTCGAATAATCTAATAATAATTGAAAGAATTAAAACTGTAGAAGAGAAATTTCACCAATAACGTATACCGTATATATAGAATGATGAATCCATGAAAAACAATTACACAGTACTCGAACAAGCTAGAGAGAGAATTTATAATCTACGTGCTATACCAGAATAATATGCAGAATAGAATGTGTAGAGACTTAGAGAGCAGATTCGGCCATCTCAGCCTGTATTTATAGGATAGATGTTCGAACTGCCCTATTACAATTAGGAATGCAGCTTTAGGCGTGTGGGGTTATTAAGAGCATGATTAAATGGGCCTAATTCTCTCTTAGCTTATCTAATTAAATACAAAGACTCATTAAACAAAATGCAATTAATTTGAACACACTGAAATAATATTCTAACATCCCCCCCCCCCCTCGTGTTCAAATGTTGATGAAGCGCAGATTATCTCTGAGTCTTGTACAATGACTTCCTATAGCCAAGGATGACTTCATAATGTATGAGGGTACTTCTGAAATCAAGTCTAACTCATACGGCTTCGTGAAAGTATGCAATAAGAGCAATCTGGATCGGATCATCTGGATCTTCAGAATTTTGTAGCTTCAGTACAGCTTCTCCCAGATGGTCTTCTATGATTCTGAGCGTACCATCGCAATATTTGCGAATTTCGTCCAAGAGCATGATTCGCTTGATGCCTTTGTAATCTCTGTAGATGAGTCATGTCTCTGGTTGTGTGACGATGGTGCCTTCTTCAATTTTTTCGATCCATTTAGCTATATTTCTCGGAGCTGTCATGTTCACTTTAAGAAAATTGTTTTCAATGGCCATTTGCAGATCAAAGAGAGAATAATATTTGAATTGTCTCATCATGAACCTCTTGATTGCATTCAGGCCTAGATCTCTGTCTTTTTTAGGTAGATCCTTCAAATTGATGTATTTGTACTCATAGAATAACAAGATAAGATCTTTTA